TGCTATGAACCTAAATCTACTTTTAAAAAGTAAAGTCTTAATAAAAAATGAAAAAAATTTTTAAGATTTCATTTATTTATTTGACAGAGAGAGAGACACAGCGAGAGAGGGAACACAAGCAGGGGGAGTGGGAGAGGGAGAAGCAGGCTTCCCGCAGAGCAGGGAGCCCGATGCGGGGCTCGATCCCAGGACCCTGGGATCATGACCTGAGCCGAAGGCAGACGCTTAACGACTGAGCTTAACGACTGAGCCACCCGGGCGCCCCAAAAATGAAAAAATTTTTTAAAAGCAAGCATTTTTTATTTCACAACTCTATGGGTTAAGTGGATAATTCTCCTGGCCTGAGCCAACCTAGCTGGGGTTCAGCAGTCTAGGATGACCTCTCAGCTGGGATCGCTGTGATATCGGGGGATCCTTCTGTCCATGACGTCTTTCAACCTTCAAAGGGCTAGCATGGGCTGGTACATGCAACAGTATAAAGACTCTCAGCAGTAAAATGGCACACAAGGCTCAATGTGCCAGTACTTTCCAAGTCTCTGCATCACATTTTCTATCACTCCACTTATCAAGGTGAGTCACAGAGCCGAGACCAGAGTCAGAATGGAAAGGGACTCTCCAAGTGCATGCATATTGCATGGGAGGAATTATTACAGCCACTTTTGTAAATAATCTACTAAAGGAAGGAATAAGTCAAATATTTAAACCAAGACCTAATCTCTGAGCTAGAATTTGTTGAAGTGCTTGGTCTCCAACTGAAATCTCTTTACTTGACTTGATATCACCAAGGCATATAGGAAATGGTCAGAAGGTATCTATCTCAGGGACATCAAACCATCTGTGACCATGGAGCAGTTTCAATTCTACAACACAGAATAGACTTTAACTATGAGACTCACTAAAGGGATATTATTGTTTAAATTTTTATCTCTCTAAGGAGAGCTTGGGCTCAGACTTAAAAACAGACAGCGGGAGAAACAAAACGAGTTGGTAGGATCCATTTTTCTCCCTATTACTTGAAGAGAAAGGTTTTCCATATGCAACAGTGAGGATGTTTAAGATCACACACAAGGAAGGAAGAGACATACACAGATTCTTTCCAGTCACGGATAATTACAGTAAGGACGTGGGCAAGGTGGGTAGTCCACAGTCACCTCACCAGCCACCATGTCCCTGTGGGTCCTGGTCAGGACTGCCCCTAACATTTGTAGGGCCCAAGGCAAGAATCCATAAGAAGGGTCCCACATCAGGTATGCCAATATTTAAAATTATAAATGAGCTAACAAAAAATTTAAAAATAAATGAATTGCTTAATATTGCAACCGTGTGAAACCATTACATATACAGCCCTCATCTGGCCATTTATCTGTCAGATGGAACACAAAAAGATGCAAGAAAATGAACCCTAGACACCACGTGGGAACAACCCAGGAATGCAAGCGTATGGTGGCGTTTCTGCAGAAAGGAAAGATTTTGACAAGCTAATTGGTTTATCTTTCCTCTGACCTTAAGCTCCTACAGCTGAGATCTTCCCACAGTCCAAGGGAGTGTCTGTGTCCTTGCTCGCAGTGACACCGCCCACAAGCCTTTGTAGCCTTTAGATTCGGGAGTGTCCCATTTCAAGGATGTAGGGCAAGAGAAGTGGAGAATCATTTTACCTTGAGCCATGAAGTGTGTGTGTGTGTGTCATAAGAACGGATGTGGAGAGTTGCAGGCCATGCTGGGCCAGCCCTGAGCACCACCTCCCAAGAGACAGAGGTATCTTTGTGTCCTCTGACAAATTTCTTTTGTGTGTGTCTGTGAATGAGGCATCCTCAAAAGCATGGGGTCCAGGGCCCAGTCCCCTCCTGCCTGCGTCTTAAAAAGTAGTACCAATCTTGGAGCTTTGAAAGTTGGGATATGTTCAGCAAGTGATACCCGCTGGCTACCATCAGGAGCAGCAGTTCCAGGAAGTCAACCTCCTGCATGGTTTGTAGGTGTCAGGGCTGCCATGAGAAACACTATTTACGCAGTACCAGTTGGAACGACACTTTACTCATGTAGAGAAGAGACAGAGCAAGAGGCGCTTCAACAGTGAGTGTCCATCCCCCATGACCAGCAGCTACCATCCTGCTGACATCTAGAAGTCAAGGTTCCATATGGCACCGACCCTCCAGGAAAAAATACAGCCATATGGTAACATGTCGGTTGATTATCTTGGACCCCTGCCATCCTGCAAGACAGAACAATCCGACCTTAGCAGAACCCTCACCGACTCCAGATACGGATTTTCTTTCTGTACCAGTAGCGCCTTTGCCAGCACAACTGAGACATGGAAACAAGGGATCCCTCGTCCTGCTCCTATTTTTGCTAGGACCTACACCCCTGCCCTTTACACATGCCTATAGTTCAGATAATATATGTCCTCCTTGTAAAGGTCAAGGAGTTAATGATTTCGTTGGAGTCTTCCAGCATGATAGATAACATCTAAGGAGTTACTGGGAGAGATCATCATGTGTGTTTTCCAAGACTCCAGACACCTTGACACCAAGACCCCAGGCTCCAGGGCATGATGAGCTAAAGCCTGAGCACTCCTCCTTGTTTTGACTAGTTCCCAAATGCCTGAGAGGACACATACACCGGCCCATTAACCTCCATAAAAACCCCGGACACCAAGATGAATGAAACTCACTCATCTTTCCTGAGTCTCCAAGACACTCTGTATCTGCTCTCTCTCTGTGTTCAACAAACTCTGCTCTCACTTCCTCTTGGCTTGCATTTGATTTCTCTCTTGTGCGAAGCCAAGGACTCTCTTCCTGGTCCTGCAGGAAGCCCACTGGGTCCTCAGACCCAACCTGCCTGCATCACAAACATTCGAAGATTTACAGAATGCCTGAGATAGTATTTATACAACATTGCCTTGGGCCAAGGGATCCATTTTATAGCTGGTAATGTGAGTCAGTGGGCATAGGAGATCCACTGGCAATAGCATAGACATAATCACGCAGAAGCAGCCAGACCAGGAGAATGGTGGGGTGTTAATGATTTTGCTAAGGGGACGACAAACTCAGGGTTGAGACTCTCCAGAATGCAGTATATCCGCTGAACCAAATGCTGATAGATGATGGTATGTCCCCAACACCTAGAATACGGAGGAACCAAGGGGCTGATGTAGGATTAGCCCCTCTCTTCGTGATTCCCGGTGATTACTGATTTCTCCATGGTTCCCATCCCTGCAACATAAGGCTCTGCTGGGTTAGACTGGATTCAGCTTTGCAGGAATCCTGGGGAAGAGGGAAGCAGTGGAGATGCATTAGCACGGGTACACAGGGTGGGTTCCACTGAACCTGAAAGAATTAATAAATACAAGCACCTTGAAGGAGGCTTTGTGACGGATTCAACACAATAAAGCCACAAACCTAGTGGAGGGAAGCACGGGGTAGACTGTACCTTGTACTACTTCACGTTCTTTTGTCCCACTGCTTACTTCAGCCGCTGCTCAGCCCTCACTTTTCCTAGATTTACATAAGCTTCATGCAGGTGTTGTGCCTCAGCCTGCCTTTGAGAACTCTAGCTTCCTGACCAGGTTCTTCTCTGATCCTGAGGCGTGGAGGCCCTGCAAGGACATAACACACACGCAAGAGCAAACAAGAAGCGCAAGGAAACCTCTGTGGTCCACTGTTGGCCAATGAAGTGTTGTCCCCATCATCTGTTGCTGTGCCACAAACCACTCAAGGTTTAATGGTATAAAACGACAACTATTTTGCTCTAGTCACAAATTCTACAGGTCAGAAATTCAGACAAGGCAGAGCAGGGATGGACTGTCTCTGCTCCGTGATGCCTGAGATCTCGGCTGGGAAGACACAAATAGCAAGGAGGGACTCAAGTCTAGAACACTGCTGTCCAATAGAGACACCACGCAAGTCACATACATAATCTAAAAAAATTTTTAGTTGCCATGTTAAGAAAGCAAAAAGCAACAGATGAAATGAACTGTAATAATATATTTTCTTTAACACAATATATCCAAACTATTTTCATGTCAACATGTAACCAATGTAAAAAATTATCCAGATATTTTACGTGGCAGCGGGCATGTAATTAAATCTTTAAAACCTTGTGTGAAGTTTATACTTTCAGAACATCCCAATGTGGACTAGCCCCATTTGAAGTGCTCAGTAGCCACATGTGGAGAGTAGTTGCTAGGTTGACCAGTGCAGATCTGGAGGCTTCCTTACACCCATGTCTGGCACCTAGGCTGGGATGACCTGAGGGCTAGGCTCATTTGGGACCACTGACCAGAACATTGCCTGTGGTTTGGGCTTCCTCACTGCCTAGCAGCCTCAAGCTAGTCAGTCTTCTCAGCTGGTGGCTCAGGACTCCAAGAGTAAATGTTCCAGTGACCGACGTTGAAGTCCATGACTTTTCACAACCTAGCCTCAAAGGTCACATGGCATATGCTATTGATTGAACCAGCCATAAGCCCCTCTCCACTTCTAGGGCAGAGAACATAGACTCCACCACTGGGTGACAGGAGTGTCAAAAAATCCGTGGCGATATTTTAAAAGCTCCACAGGGATAAAAGCCAAAGATAAATGCTTCCCCTCTCTTCCCCCTGGCAAAATATTCTGAGATACATTCATAAGCCTCTTCAAAAAAACTCCCAGCAGAGAGATGCTGAGGAATAATGAGACTCTGGATACCTTTTTGCAAGTAGAGCCAACCGTATTTATTAATGGGTTGGATGTGGGGTGAGAAACAAAGCGAGGAGGAGGAGTCAGGATCAGGAGTCTGTGTGAGGAATCACACGACGGTTTACAGGCTATTCCTGCAGTGGAAGGTGCTTAGCTCCTGAGGAAAACACTCTGACCTAGGGGATGAAATTAACCTCCTGGAGGAAGGGTTCTTCATGAAATAGTCTCCCTCTCTGCCTGTATCCATTGGGCAGTTGGGAAAGCATGACGCCTCCTTTACCATCTACTTCCTGTTGCATTCCCAGCCTTGTTCCCTCTTTCAGAAATAGCATGCTGTCTATCGTATAGCCAAAGAACAGCACTCTGAACCTCTGCCCTGGGACTTCCTGATCCTCCTCTCTTATAAATACGAGGGCAGAGCTGGGATCCCACAGAGTCAGAGAGCCGAAAGCCAGGAGTCCTCAGACCGGCTCTGCCTGCTACTGGGAAGATGAAGTTCTTCGTGGCTGCCCTCCCCTTCCTCATTCTTGCTACCGCCCTTGGATCCCGGGTCCACGTCCTTCATGGTGAGTTCGGTGAACCTTCCCACTGGTGACGAGGTCCACGGTAACTCGCGAGCTGGGGAGGAAACGCAGAAGGACACCTTTGTCCTACTGAGGCTGTTCCCTGTCTCAGACAGGGATGTGAATTCAGCACTTGTTTAAAAAGCAGCAGCAATAGGCTGTAGACCTCTCTCTCTCTCTGCAGGCCTTGGGCCCTGGGGAAAACTGTATGCAAATGACTGCCCCCCACCTTGGGGAAATAACTCTCTCCCTTTTCATGACCAGAATTATTTGATGACTTCTCTTAGCTGACATAGGACTGTCATGTGCTAAATCAAAAGAACTATAGTAAAATTCTAAATTTGCAGAAAGAAGCATAGAATTCTACAATGTTAGTATAAAACTCTCATTTTGGAGAGGAAACGTAACAAGCCGGGAAAGTGCCTCACCCAAGTCTACCTAACCATTCCATTTATTTAACAAATAAATATCTAGTACTTCTTACGTGCAGGCAGGCACTGTTCTAAGTGTCTTATGGACTCAATACATTAGATCCTCCTAACAACCTTGTGGGGTAGACTAGCAGCAACTTGTATAGTTTTGCATATTATATTATTATTCTCATTTTACAAATGAGAGAACACCTGGACAACTTGTTCAAGATCATATAGCTAGACACTCAGACCCGTGGTTGCGGTTCAGGAACTCCAGCAGATGTGCATCCCAGATGGTGTGCCTTCCTTGCATCGTCATTCCGATTCTGCTCTGGATCTACAAAAAATTCCTGGAGCCATGCATGTATCCTCTGATTTCCCCCTTTGTTAGTCGTATGTGGCCTAGAAAAGCTCTTCGAGAATCCCACAACAAAAACAAAGGCAAGGTAGACTGTAAGGACGCAGACATAAATGGATTACCAACAAAAGGACCAACAGAAATCTCTGATAAAAAGAAAGACTAAAGTGATTGTCCCAAAGGATCTCATTGTTTTAAAAATGGACCTGATAATATGAAGCACCTTGCTTGTAATTGTCTCTGACCTTTTTCTCTGAGACCAGAATAGGGGATAGATAGCTTAGTTACCTGATACTAATCAGGAAATACATGGTATTTCTATTTAAAATGTGTCTAGTTATATTTAATGATCTCATTCCTGAGTTCCTGTTTCATTAAAGTCGCTTCCATTTCTATTATCGTAGTTATGAATAAATAGAAGGTTTGTGCCAGTAGACACTGCTACTAAACCAGTACTCAAAAATCCTCGGGCCTCTAGCTTTCGTTCAGGCTCTTTGAATTTGAGCAGAGTACAATGTTACCGTGAAGCAGTGCGGTGAGACTGTGCGGTGAAAGGAAAAGGGGTTTGGGGAGATGATGAGGACTTGAAACCTAAAGATGTAATTACTGTCCAATACAATGGAGCAGCCTACTTCTGAGAGTCGTAATTCCTGCTTATTGCTCTGAGGAAAATAGAAAAGACAGGGAAGTCGGGGAAACGCCTTTGAAAAATGGAATACCTTTGACAGAAATATCTAATGTATATTATAAAATCCTAATCCTTGTTGCATTTCTTCTGTTCTTACAAAGTATATTAAATATTCAGTTTAGGAAAAAAAAAGATCATATAGCTATTAAGTGGTGGAATGAGGGTAGGAGCTGGTTAGGAAGCTGCAGTGGAAAGGCAAAGCCACTTAAGATTTTATTTTGCAAGCCCCACACACATCACAGCAAGCATATCAAATATACACACACGCCTTCTTAAATAGAATTCATGTGTAACTCTATAAGAAATGATCTAAAAGTTCAGTTGTCTTTGCCTAATTAGCATAATGCAGGTCCACAATCCCTTATCCAAAACTCTGGGGCTAGATGTGTTTTGGAAGGCGGAAGTATTCCATTTTTAAAAAGGTAATGCAATATGATCCAGCAGTTCCACTCTGGATATATACCCAAAAGAACTGAAAGCGGGTACATGAAGAGATGTGTTTACACCCATGCTAATCATACCATTATTCATAATAGCCAAAAGGTGAGAGCAACCCAAGTATCCATTAACAAATGAATAGAGTTTTTTTTAAATGGGGCATATACATACGATATATTATTCAGCCTCAGAAAGGAAGGAAATTCTGACACGTGCTACAAAACGGATGAACATTGAAGACATTATGTTAGGTGAGATAAACCAGTAACAAAAGGACAAATTCCGCATGGTTCCACTGCTATGAGGCACTTAAACTAGCCGAATTCAGAAAGAAGAATGGTGGTGGCTTGGGGGTTGGGGGAAGGGAAAACGGGAGTTATTGCTTAACAGGTACAGAGTTTCAGTTTTGCAAGATGAAAAACGTTCTGTGGATGGATTGTGGTGATGGTTGCACAATAGGTGAATGTGCTTCGTCCCACTGAACCGTACGCTTTTAAACGTGCTTACAGTTGTGTTTATTGTGTATATTTTACATTTTCAAGAAAATAAATGACATTTTTAAAAAGGTAACACATACTTGGACATTACTTAACGTCACTGGAAGAGTCTGTGAAGTGTACTTCAATCAAACAGGGCAGTATTTCTGCAGCAACCACAAATAATCATACTACTGGGATAAATAATGATTGTGAATAGCCTCACTTCACTTTGGGTGACCTTGTGCCACCAAATCAGTTAACGAAACATTCTTCTGTTTCCTGAGCCGTTGTGGATTCCAGAAATGTACAGAAAGTATTGTGGCATGTATCACATATGTACCCATTCAACCGATTTATTCATATCGGATTTACAGTTTGCTTTTTGTATTTCAAAGTCAATCGGATGGTTTCACGTCTCAGACAGTTTCAAAGGTCCCTGAAACATCCCAGGGCCCTGAGACGAGAAAAGGGGCCTGGAGGCAGACCTAGAACCCAGACTGGTGTCCAGTGGTCCAGCATCCGCACCTCCCTACCAGGGGATGGGGCTGAGGCATGAGACCGGTGGAGACAGCAAGACGAGGCTGCCTCAGTGATTTCTCTCCCCTCCTTGTCTGTTTCTCCCAAATAGAACCCATGGTGGCGAAACTTCAGCATGAACCCTTAATACAGATGGAAGGTAAAGGTATATGTTATATCATAGCATATGCTTGAAAGTAGCAGCTGCACAGATCTGTTCAATGGCTTCAAAACACCTCATTTATAGGGCGGGGGTACGGGACAGGTGGGGAGGGTCCCGAAGGTGGCGAATGTCCCCAGGAAGATCAGGATGGACCGTTAGAGGGCACTTCTATTCCACCCAACTGTCTCTCGAGTTGGCTCACCTGGGGGCAGAGGTGCTCACTGATGCCTCCTGCTGGCACGAGACGCTCCCTCTTCTATCAGAAACGGCCGTGGCCCTGTTGTGGCCTTGCCTGGGTGCCCTGCGACATAGAGCTCAGCCCCGAGGAGAGCGAAGCAAGGGCAGGCAGAGGAGAACGTCCCTCTGGAATTCTGTGCCTGCTCACCCTACCCAGGACTTTGGAGGCAAGGGGGAAAGGATCTAGTCTCCCTTAAAAAGAGACCCAGTCCTTAAATGTCTCGTTCCCCTTGCAGCAGGCTTTCACCGTCCCACTGACTGCTGCCCCGACTACAAACGAAAAATTCGATGTGCAAACATGAAAGATTTTTTTGAAACAAGCAGTGGGTGCTCCCGGCCAGGTGTCATGTAAGTGTCGTATCTGGGGAGGGGTGTCTAGGAAAAGTCCCACCAGTCTGGATCCTGCCAGGTCCCGGGAGGCTTGCGTCCTCATTAGGATCCTGCAGGGCATCAGGTAAGAGATGTTCCCAGTGAAGAGGGACACTGGGGACAGATGGAGAGAGAAGAAAGGCTGCTTGAGGAAACACACAGGAGTCACTTAGGCAGTCTCAGAGGCTAAGTGAGGCAGGGTCTCAGAGAGGAGGTGCCCTGAGTCCCTGCAGCAGAGAAGGAAAAGAACAGGCTGGTCCAAGTGGGGGAATCCCAGGGCCGGGGAGGATGGGGATCCCCATCCCCATTTGCTGAACGCTCCTTAGTTTGTAATCTTTCTCCGCCTTGCTCCCCAGCTTCCTCACCAAGAAGGAGAGGCTTGTCTGTGCTGACCCCCTTGATTTGGAAGTTCAGAATTGCATGAGGTCCCTGAGGAAGAACCTAACAATGCAGATGTGAGAAAGAGGAGGCTTGCTTGAGAAGAAGGAATACCAGGGGCCACTCACCCCACCTCCACTTGGTTTGTCCCAACTCCCTCCTGGGATTTTCTTGGCCTGAATTATTTTTCGAAAAGTAACAACTACTGTTCTTTCTGTTCTGGTCATAAAAGCAATGCATTAATAAAGAGTATCTGATGTAACTTTCCTTGAATTTTAAGAGGAAAAAGAAACTATAGGAACTGCTGAAATTTGGATTCTGTGGGGTTTTTTTTCCAAATGATATGTCATAATAGAATTTTTTAAAAGCTAAAAACATTCAAACTCATTCAAACATAGATTGAATATGTGTCAAAATGTACTTAACCCATTCAATGAGGGAAAACTGAGTCAAAGATCATCTGAGGAACAGAGATTTATACAGTTAGCTGGGGATGGCATCCTGAAATGTTAAATCAGAGAAAAACAGATTAATATCCTATAGGAAAATAAAATTGTAACACTGGGGATTATCTTTTCTCTTTTTTTTTCTTTTCATTTTTAGAGGGTAGGTAGAGGCAGAGGCAGAGGGAGAAAATCTTAAGCAGACTTCACACCCAGTACAGAGCCCAACACAGCACTCAATCTCACGACCCTGAGATCATGACCTGAGCCAAAATCAAGAGTCCGACACTTAACCAAGTGAGCCACCCAGGTGCCCCTGGTAATTATCTTTTCTACTGGACAAAAGTCATTTACATCTGTGCTAGATAAAAATTTACAAGTTAACATAATTTCACAAAGTCAGGGGCCCCATCAGTAGTAAGTAGACCACCACTGGAGAGAACATTCCCCTACAGGAACTCTGGGGTGGGTTTTGTGGACACTTCCAAATGACATTGGAGGACCTGCCTGCCGTCAACCTTCTGCCTTATTTCTACATTTTGGATATTTTCCCTCAACAGACATAAGTTCCCCTCTTTAAAGTTAAAGGACATTAAGAAAAACATTTAAAGTTAGACCGAACACGGGTGGTGAGATCGAGCCCTGCATTGGGGCTAAAGTTAACATTAAGAAAAACATGTCAAGGTGGACCGAACATGGGTGGTGAAATTGAGCCCCGCAAGCGGGAAGTCTGCTTGATGTTCTCCCTCTCCCTCTGCCCCTCAACCCACTGAGTGCTCTCTCTCTCAAATAAATAAATAAACCTTTAAAAAAAAATAAAGTTGGAGTGAATATCAATTTTACATTCAGGGAACCTGAGTGGCTCAGTTGGTGAAGCGTCTGCCTTCGGCTCAGGTCATGATCCCAGGGTCCTGGGATCGAGTCCCACATCAGGCTCCCTGCTCTGTGGGGAGTCTGCTTCTCCCTCTCCCTCTGCCCCTCCCCCAGCTCATGCTCACTCTCTCTCTCTCAAATAAAGTCTTTAAAAAAAAAAAACCTATCTTGCTTTTTGGGTGATTTGCCATAAAGAGTTATAAGGGAAAAAACTGATTGATAACCAAATATCCATCCTAATCATAAACACTATTAGAAGACAGCTGAGACAATGATTAAAGCTGGGAACTATTATAACTCTAAAGGGATCAAATACACATTTACACTTTGTCTCATCTTATTCTCTCCACAAAGAATAGTTCATCTTTGGAGGTACAGTGTAGAAAAGCTTCTTTCACTTCATCATTTGGGAGTAGGGGGTAGACAGAAGATGACTGGGGAGTAAAAGGCAGGGCACAGATGTACACAGTCTAGCCAAGCATTCCAGGTAATTCTTATGCAGGTGGTCTTAGGAAGGACCTCACTTAGAGATGCCATTTTAGGAGGTGTGGGTGAAAAGTGTAGGCAGGCTAGCAGGTGGACCTGTGCCTTGGTAAATTTCATTCCTTCAGGGATTCCTCTCTTTTTTCCCAGCGGAAGTGGGAATCCCTAGTTCCCTGGTTGTGAATGCAGATTCCGAGGATGGGGGGCACTGGCTCTGGTAGGTGAGGAGGAAGGCGGGGTGGGACTGGTCCGGCTTTCACTGAGGTTGTCGGAGAGCTTCATTTCTAGGGGGCGGAGGTGGTGGGACTTCTTTCTTTTCTTTGACCAGAAGTTGTCCTGGGTACTGCCCAGCTCTCTCTCCGGTCCATCATCCCTTGTGGAAGACTCCCATGCAGATAGACTTCTTACATAGAGAACTGTGCTTATAGCTTTATCCTGGGGCAAACCCCACACCCCCCTGCCCTGAAGTGGGTACTGGCAAGGTCGTAGCTTCTTCTCCCAACACCACTGACTCTGATCTTTGTGTTACCTAGGGTGCTGCTGAGAAAGTATTTTTTCAATGATCTCTCCTTCACCTATATGAGGAAACAGGTTTTGCAGCCTCCTTATTTTGCCATCAAGCTGACCCATGTCCTTTATACAGAGATTTCTCTTCTTACAGTCAGCTGATGTCATCTTTTCTGATTTCTTCTGCTACTACAAATTTATTTTTGTTTTCATATTTTTCCAGTCATTTCCATGGGATTTGGGGAGGTAAAAGAGGCAAATACAGATGCTCAGGGTTCTGGCTTATAATTTGACCCATTTATGATCTCTCCTGTTGCTCTCATCCACTTCACTGTATTCTGTTAAATTCAGCAGCTTCGAGTTAACACCAGCCCACTGAGAACTGAGTGATGGAAACAGCAAATTTTGGCTTCTCTGTAGAGATTTTGTTTCAGAGCCGCGGTGAAAATCTCAAAAAGTTGTTGGATTGAAACCGTGCTAGACCCAAGGGGAAGGTGTGTGATTTCACTGGTTTCTCCGGCTGGCCAAGTTGTTAGCTCAATGGAATGAAATGGAGAGCTCAGACCACTGGACTGTCAGGACAGCAGAGGACCAGGTGTCTCCACAGCAAGGCTTTGGGTCATGACAATGGCAGCTGAACAGAAAGGGGGATGGACACTGAGACGTTCCTTTCTGACCAAGCATCTGGTCACTCATAGAAGGTCTTTGAGTTCTTGGAGCGGACAATGGCTTGTTATGTCTAGGTCAATTACATAATACATTACTCTATTTTCACAATTCCTCAAAAATCGCGTGTTCTTTTATGCTTCCTTGCTCTCTGTGGTGCCTCAGCCACAAATGCTCCTCCTCACAACTCTTCTCAGCAAAACTCAACCCAGCCTGCAAGGTTCAACTTAGATGTCCCTGTAAAACCTTCCCCTGCTATCCCATCCAGAGCACCCACCCCCCTCCTTTCTCTGGAATCCTGAAACAGGTATTTATTGTCACTCAAACAACTGAATGGCTACTTTATGTTTTACATTGTGGTAGGCAGGATATAGAGAAGATTGAAATTAAGAATAAAATATGACCTCTGTGTGCAAGAATCATATGTATAATTCATCTCTAAATCTCCAAGTTATTATGCAACACTGGGTTAAAATAATGAGGTCGTTTATATGAGGGGCAACCAGCCTGGGTCATATACCTCCCCAGGCCCCATGCCGGCTACCCAAAGGCTGAAGCTGACCCTTTGAACAACGTAGGGTTTGGGGCACTGACCTCCACGCAGTCAGAAATCCAAGTATAACTCTCTAAAAACTTAACTACCGATAGCCTACTATCGCCAAAGCCTCATTGATAACATAAACATAAAACACACATATTTTGTAAAATCATCAGGCAGGGGCACCTGGGTGGCTCAGTCGGTTAAGTGTCTGCCTTCAGCTCAGGTCATGATCCCAGGGTCCTGGGATTGAGCCCCACATTGGGCTCCCTGCTCAATGGGGAGACTGCTTCTCCCTCTGCCTGCCACTCCCCCTGCTTGTTCTCTCTCTTTCTCTGACAAACAAACAAATGAAATCTTTAAAGAGAAGGAAAAAAAATCATCAGGCATAGAAAAGACATTACAGCATTTACTGTATTTATTTTTTAAAAATCCACATGTAAGTAGACCTGCACCAGTTCAAGCCTGTGTTGTTCAAGGGTCAACTCTATATTGAAGCACACCAGTTAGGAAGCTGAAACTTTAGTATGCATAAGAATCACCTGGAGGGCACTCTTCCAGGCTCGGTCCCAGGTGGGCATGGCCCGTGAGTAGGGAAATTAGCAAGAACGTGCCCACCAGAAAAACATGAAGAAATCCCAGGAAATTAGCAGGGGAAAAAGAAAAGAGGATAGCTTGACCACCTCTTGGAGAAAGCAGAGGGACTCTGAGATAAGGCAACCAAAAGCAGAAGGCGGCTAGCGAGAAGAAGTCTATGCATACAAGAGAAAAATGATGACTATTTGGAAAAACCTGGTGCTACTGCCAGCTAGATGTATCATAAGCTCTATGGTCAAAATTTGGGGAATGAACAGTCATATGTTATATCCTTATAAAACTATTTTAAACTTTACCTTTCAGCCTGACTTAGTGTAATGTTTCAGAACCATTCTTGGAATAAAACACTAACCATGCAGGTGAAAAAAAGAAAGAAAGAAACACCTGGAAGGCTTGTTAAAAACAGATTGCTGGATCCTATCCCCAGAAATTCTAATTCAGTAGGACTGAGTGGAGCCCCCCAAAATCAGCATATCTAACAAGTTCCCAGGTAATGCTGATGCTACAGGGTGGACTGGAAATTTGAAGAACTCTCACTTTTGACTTTGTAATTTCAGCATTGTTTGCAGCTTTTATAAAAAGCACATTTCTTTAGTAACCAAAACACAATTTCAAAGAATTGAAAAAAATAAATCTTTATGGTCTTCTTAAGAACAAACAACAAGAGGTGGAGCAAGATGGCGGAGGAGTAGATTTCGTCTGGTCTCAGGAATTCAGCTGAATAAGGATCAAACCATTCTGAACGCCTACGAACTCAACAGGAGATCGAACAGGAGAGTAGCAACAACTCTCTGAACAGAGAAGCGACCACTTACTGGAAGGTAGGACGTGCGGAGAAGTGAATCATAGGCGATATTCGGGAGGATAGACGGCGGGGGAGGGGGCCTCCGTCGGCTGCTTCTGGCAAGTGCTAGAGCCGCGGAGCACAGAATCGGACCTTTTAGAAGTTGGCTCCGCTGAGGGACTCGCTGCAGTGGCTAAGCGGGGGGTGGAATCCTCGTAAGACAGTGTGGTCTCAGGACCCTCGGGGTCACAGAAAGACCGGGGGTGCCTGAGTGCAGCAGAGATCCCAGGTATCAGAGCGGGGAAGCTGGCTGCAGAGACGGAGCCGAGGCGCGGGCTTGCAGCTCGGGGTGGCCATAAACTGTGGTCCGCG